ATCACCATCACCATCATCATCATTATCATCATCATCAGTATCATCATCATCATCAGCATCACCACCATCATCACCATCATCAGCATCACCACCATCATTAACACCGTCATCATCATTACCATCATCATCAGTACCATCATCATCATCATCATCATCATCATCATCATCATCATCATCATCAGTATCATCAGTATCATCATCATCATCATCATCATCATCATCATCATCGAGATCATCATCATACTGATGGTCCCTGTCCTCCTCTTTTGTCCGACCCAGTCCTCTCGAACTGCACGGAGACCCTCAGGTCGTTCATCGACCGCATGATCCTGGCGCCGCGGCGGCCCCGCCCCCTCCCGAGGGCCTGGGTGCCAGCGGCCGGGCAAACAGAAGCAGCCAAGAAGACCAGACGGAGCATCTATATTTCCGTAGTGAGTATATATCTATATATATATATAGAGAGAGAGAGAGAGAGAGAGAGAGAGAGAGAGAGAGAGAGCGAGAGAGAGAGAAAGAAAGAAAGAGAGAGAGAGAGAGAGAGGAGGAGGAGGGGGGGAGTAGGAGGAGGAGAGGAGGAGAGGAGGAGGAGAGGAGAGGAGGAGGAGGAGGAGGAGAGGAGGAGGGGGAGGAGGAGGATGAGGAGGCGGGAGGAGAAGGCCGAGGAGGAGGAGGACCGACGAGGAGGAGGAGGAGGAGGAGGAGGAGGAGGAGGAGGAGGAGGAGGAAGGAGGCGAATGCCCGCCGTGGGCAAGGCGGATGCCAGAGGTGCGTAGGAATGCCTTCCTTCCTTCCTGCACGACGTGCCCCTCGGGACGCAAGAAATTTAGGCGGCCTCTCCCTTTCCTTCCCCCGAAACGTGGGCCAGGCCCGCCGGTGGTACCGGAGGGCCTCGCCGGCAGCAGCGGCGGGCGCCCGAGCGCGGGCGCCGCGGTGCGGGCGCGGACCCGCTGAATCGGGCTGCGGCGGCGGCAGGTCGGCGCTCGCGACTGCCGCAGAGGGATCCGACGAATCAATACGACGAAGAAAAATCTGATGGCTACACCACATTCGCGACATCATCCCGCGACGCGAAAAGAGACGCGAAACCAACCGAAGAGCAAAGTGAATGCGCGGCGCACGTGACTAACACAATAGAGCTAGCACTCGCGTGGAACCAAGCCGCTGGGACTGCGGCGGCGGAGGCGGCAGAGGGCGAGAGGGAGACAGGGCAAAGCGCCCGGCAGTCGTCCCACACGTGCGCTATCACAGCATGGGGGGTCGTGCTGCCACCAAACAGAAGCCACAAATCGGGGTAGGGGAGCGCGAGGAACGCCGGACAGGGAGAGGGGAAGGGCGGCGACCTATCCGTCCGTTGGCCTCGCCGAGGGCTGTTTGACTCCAGAGGCAAGAGACAACAAATAGTGTGAGGCCGTTCGGTTTTATTTGCTTGTGTGGCGCTCAACATGTGCACTGCAGGCGCGTCGGTTGATGCATCGTGCTATAGACAAGGTTGGGGCACAGCCCCCGTCGACCTGTGAAGGTCTCTAGGTGCTCCAGAGCCTCTGCGGGTCCCAGGGCCCCTCAGAATGCCGGCGTGGCCCAGAATCGCGCAGGAATCGCACATTGACCTCGCCCTTCGTCGCCAAGAGGGACACCGACTTCTTGCGTCGCGTGTGTGTGTGTGTGTTGTTCAAACAGAGGCCCTGAAGTTCTTCATCTCTTACCCATGATCGTTTTTCAGTTCAGCTTCGCCACCGTGCCTTGAGAGCCCCATGGGGGTCAGAGCTATTGGAAGTGCGGATGGGGGGGGGCGACGGGGAAAAGCAAAATGGGAGAGCAAAGTGGTATTGTTGTAACCACTTTCTATTCAAAATGAATTTGGCTATAGCTCGAAAGTTGCCCAGCCAGGGCCATCTTTCTGGGCGTCAATGAGATTGCTATCGAACGTGAAATTTGGACGACGGCGCAGGGGATTCCATAGCCCGGGCGACATGGACACGGCCGCAACCGCGCTCCAATCGCGGGTGCGCCGCCGTCGCTGGCCGCCTCGCGAACCGACTGCCGCGAGTTGCGGCGTGCACGCACAGGGAGAAAAACAAACGCCGTCGAAGCTCACATAGAGGCGGGCGCGGGCGACATTCCCACCATTTCGCGGCGCAAAGAACGGACGCAAACACTCAAAGCGCAGACAAACAACCAACGGCGTCCCCGAGCGGGGCCAAGCCGCGGCCACGGCAAACGCCGCGCGCGCGAGCATGCCCCAAAACAATTCAAGAAGCGTCCTTGCGTCCGCTGGGCTCATCGTCGGTGGCTCCGCCCCCCTGCTCGGCATGCGCCGCCATCTGGCGAGTCGAGTCGGCGCAGAGATCAGCGCGCCGCGCAGATGGATGCAAACCATCGCCTGGATGAGTCTCCTGAGGGCGGCGGTCGCTTCACCCAGCAACGCGGCGGGAACCTTCGCGCGCCTGCTTGCGCGGCGCAATGCACGGCCGCACTCGGCACAAACACTGGCGCGGAACCCGCGCGGAGCCCTGGAAGGGCGCCCGCCTCGCGCGACTGCGCCGTCGCGCCCGAAGCATTGGCTCCCCAGCTTTACTTTGCAAGGCCGGTCGTCGCGCGTCGCGCAACGTGAAAGCCGCGCCCTCGCCCAGGCGCCCGCGCCCAGACCCGCCCCCCTTCAGACGCGCATGGAGGAGATCGCAAGGGGCGCGCTCGTTTTGGCGCGGGCGCACACGCGCGCGCGCCACACGTCATGGATCGCACGCGTTTCCACTGCACCTCGCTGGTCGGCGCTAGCGCAGGCGCGGACGCACGCGCGCAGGGAGATCATGCATCGGGCACGCGCTGCGCGCGCCTCACCGGTCAGCGCTGACGCAGGCGCTAGACTCACGCGCGTTGTAATATCATGCGTTTGACGCGCGTTCCCTGCACCTCGCTGGACGGCTCGCACACGCCATTTCTGCCCCCGCGCAACCACTCGCGCGCGCGCTCGCCCGCGCGCAGTCCAAATCGTGCTCGCGCGTAAGGATAGGCAAAAGCGCCAGTATTCACGCTCATCCATGCCATGTATACCCTGCGCGGCTCCTCGCACCCGGAAGCACCCGCGCCTGCGCCGATTTGCTCCCGGAACCTTTGCCACTAATAACGTGGGATTCAGATGGCCCCCAAGGGCCGCCTGCGTTCCCAAGTCTTCCTCGCGGTTCCAGACAATCCCTGCGGGGTGCCGGTGGCATTTCAGTTGTCGCGTGCGCGTGGGCGCGCGGCCTGCAATACATTCGAATCTGGTTCTTTGCGCCATGCAGAGTCCTAGACGGCTTCTTCAGACTAAACCGTTCGGTGCCCAGGCAGACTCACGCCCCCCGCAGACGTGCAGAAAATGGCCGCCCGCGCCCGCGACCACTGCCAATGTGGGCGCGAAGGCTGGCCCGCCCGCCAGCGCTCGCGCGCGCCCCTTCGTTGGCGCGCGGCCAGCGCGCGCAAGGGCGGGGCGCGCCGCCCCCGCCCCCGCGCGCAAGAAAAAACGGGTGAACCAACAGCTTTCCGCTCGACTTCCTCTTCGTTTGGCCCGCCGAAGCCTCGGGCGGGTCGCGGTCGGGCAGGGCAATGGTGCGAAAGGTCGAGCGCGGGCCATGCGTCCGCCGCGCGTAGGCCGCGGGGTCGCAACGGGCACGCTTCGGGCAAGCAGAGAAGGCGGGCCGCTGGTGGCCCGCGGGTCGCGCCGGGACCGCGGGCGCGCGTTGGCCGCGCCGCGGGCAGATGGCAGCCCGGGGCCACCCCGCGGGCAGGCCATGGGTCGGCCACGGCCGGGCCGCGAGCGCGCCGCGGGCAGGCCCTGGGCGGCCCGCGGGCAGCCGATGCGCGGGCCGCGAGCAAGCAGTCGGCACGGCGCAGGCGGGTCATGGACCTGCCATCTGTTGCCGGGGCAGGCTGCGGCGAGGCCTCGGGCCGCCAGCGGGTCAGCCGCGGGCGGGTCGCGGGCGGGCCGCGGGCGCGCCATGGGCAAATGTAAAATGATCAGCGCCGCGGCGCGCGGCGCGACCAGGGCCGAGGGCGGGGAGCAGAGGCCGACGGCGAAAGCGCATTGGGCCCGGCGGCGGGGGGGCGGGCAGGACGCCGACCGCCCCGCGCGATCGCGCCGGGGGGGCGGCGGCAACGGTCGGGCGCGCCACGGCTCGAGAGGCTACCGTTTCTGCGCAGTCAAAGCAGCGGCCCACGCGCGCTACCCGCGCGCCGATGTCGAGACGCAACGCAACGCGCGAACGGCCAGTTGCGCCGGGCGGGGCAATTCCCAGGCACTACATCAACCTTCGAAACGGAGACCCATCGGCAACATCAGGGCATGAAACGAACATCGCGAGACTGGGAACACACGGGGAACGAATCCCACTGGACAGGTAAACCTGCGCACGCAACACCCGTCGAAAATTCCCAAGTCCATAAGCCAATGTCAAGACGCCAGCCCAAAACTGAAGCTTAATATCAACTGGCGAAACCTACCAAGACACTCAACACCAACAGGAGAAATCGATCCCGATACCCGACGCCCATGCGAGCACACAAGACGAATAACTAATGCGGGACACCCACATGGGGAAATTACGACGCGAACCCAACATACGAACTCCAAACGAGAGGTCCAGGTCAAGTGGCGGACCCAATCTGCCAACTCAGAATGCGAACTCAAAACGCCACCCAAACATCAATCATCAAAATCAAGGTGCCAACCCAACATCAACTCTCAACGCCAACTCGCGACGCCAATATAGGCAAAACCGGCGGCCCCACTCGAGGAGGATGCGCGGGCGCCAACCCGCGGGCCCCAGCGCGCGGGGCCGCGCCCCCAGGCGGGGCCGCGGCCAGACGCGATCGCCCAGAACAAGCGCCGACGCCGAGAAATAAAGCTAGGCCGACCCGCCGTCTCCAGGGCGCCGAAGTTGCGGATCGCCTTCCGACGTTGTGCTCCCCTTGTGTTTATTCATTCTCTTGTCCATGGCAATGCGGCGCGGCGCCCTGGTCGCGTCGCCGCCTGCGGCGGGCTCTCAGCGCTTTCTAGATGGGGCCGGCAGCGACGCGGACGAGCGCCGCAACGCGCGCGCCCGCGGGTGCGCGCATGGCCGGCGAAGGAAGCAGGCGGCTGAGATCGCCACGGGGGCAGGCCCGCGCGGCCGCGGGCCAAGACGGGGGCGGGCGCCCATCGAGCGCCGAAGTCCCGGCCCACGGCGGGTCGCAAACCCTCGCCAGCGGCGAGCACCTCCCACTGCGTTCTCAGCGACAACGGGGCGAGGCCCCGCGCCTCCGCGAGGCGGCGCGAGCGCGCGCCGGGCGAGCGGGGCGCTTCTCCACGGGGGCCGCGCGGCGAGGCCCCCGCGGACAGCGTCGCGCCGCCGTCGCGCGCCGGGGCCGCGTGCGCGACGGCCGCGGGGCAGCCGCGCGACGCTGGCCGCGGGCTACCCCAGCGGCCGTTCAGCGTCGAGGGCGCCCTACGATCGGCAGGAAAAGCGGAGGCCAGCGGCGGCGCGCCCCCCCTCTTCGCCCCGACGGGGGCGCTCGGGGAGCCTCGAACGCTCTGGGCGGCGACTTCAATGCCGGCCACCCTTGGCGCCGCGCAGCTGCCGCGCGCCACCTCGGCGCCATCTCGAGGCCATTGGCGCCCTCCCCCGCCGCCGCTCAACAGCGAATAGCCTCTCTACGTTGCCCGCGCGTCGCATGGGCGCCCCCGAGGCTTCGCGCGCGTCGCGCTGATGCGACGCCCTGGGCGCGCCAGCGCGGCACCTGGACATCCCCCGCGCCCTTCGCAGGCGCAACTTGTCGCGCTGCCCTGGCGCGAGCTACGCGCGGCGCGCCCGCAGACCTTGCAGTGGCGCCGTCGGCCGACAACGAATGCATCGCATCGTAACCAACAAACTATATGTACAACGCCTGCTCATGAATAGCGCAGCTCGTGCGCAAGCATCAATCTAGACACGCGCTGCGCATGTCATAAGCGCGCCCGGGACAGCGCAAGGGCACGCTCCGCGCATCTCGCTGCCATCCGCCAGGCGCGTCCTGGACAGCCCCTTGGCATCGCAAGGCCATCGCGTAGACGTGGTCAATGCCATGCGTATGCGTTGCTCGCGCATGATCTACCTACTGCATCATCTCCGCGCGATGGAAACGTCGGCAACGCATTGCGCATGCATGGCACGGACATCTTTAACTGGAATCAGGCAGACAGTTGAACGCGTCTTCCGCAGCACGCGCGCATTACTTTGACACTGCCTGGCGTGTACTTATGTGCTGTGTATTACGCTGACATTGCCCAAGCACCACATGCGCTTCACCGAACAGACACAGCATAAACATCGGCCACAGAAATCTTATGCCCGCCTAGAAATGGCGCGCACGTTGCCCAGTTAGTGCCCCGGCGCTATGTCGACAATGCGGACAATACGATGGCCTTACCTGGCGTCGCCTAGAAATCGTCTGCCCTTCTACATGCCCGCTTCATGACTTCACTGCTCATGCCCTACCTACCCAATACCCATATACCGCCGACGCATTAAATACACAAGCGTTGCCTGGACATGCCTCATGCGTCAAAACGGCATTGTCCGGCCAGCGGGTAGGCATCTCGCGTGCAAGCCAGGGCGCTGACAAACGAATTGTCCAGGCGCGCCCCGCTCAAAGCCTACATCGCGTCCCCTCCTCGCCTGCAATTTGCCGGGGTCTCTTTGGCGCAGGGAGTGTGCTCCCGTGCAGGAGCGAGCGCGTTTCTTCTGCTTTCCTCCATGCGCGTCTGAATGCGAGCTATCTTCGGTGCGCAAACATTGCGCCGCGCAACCTCTTGCCTCAGCTGTGCTCGTTGAGCCAGAAGTGGTTCTTGCATGGGTGGTCTTCAGGGGTGATACATCACGACAGCCACATACAGCAACCCTCAAGCTCACCACTCTTAGCGCCGTATCGTTCGGAGGTTCCATTCTAAGCCGTCGTACGGAACATTCCCTGACACGCCTACGCATCAAGGGCGTGCTAGCCACGCATGAGGCTCCGACCCAGCAGAATTGCACACGGCGCTCGGAGGCAACAGTGTGGCCTGGCTGTGTTGGCATCGTGGCGTGACCTGGGAACTCATTGGTCAAAATCGGATTGTTTTTGTGAGCTGATCCGCGGTTACAATCAGTCTCATATTGTTCTGGTGACTTTATCCCGGCGGCTGCGGTCAAAATAGTCTTGATCCGGAGGTTCGTTCCCACCTCTGCTCCGCATCCACTGCCCCCCCCCCAAAAAAAACACCCCTGACCAAGAAACGCACGCACAAACTGTGCCTACACGAGGTGGGCGCTTGAGAAAGCAAGGTGGCTTCTGGTAGGGCTCTGCTTTATCCTATATTTGAAAGCCCCCCCTCTCTTCAACAAAAAACATCTCTGACCAAAAGACGCACACACAAACCGTCCCTGCACGAGGTGGGCGCTTGAGAAAGCAAGGCGGCTACTGGTAGGGATCTGTCTTTCCTATATTTGAAAGCCCCCTTCTCTTCGAGAAAATACTGCACGCGTCGACCGCCCCCCCCCCCCCCCCAAAGCTCCCCCCCTGGGCGGCCCGGCGCCTCCTTGGGGCTCTCCAAGACTCCCCGCGCTCCATTCGACTGGGCGTAGGAGTGACCCTAGGCTTAAGTGACCTTTGGAGCGCGGCTTCTGGGGCGCCCGTGGGGGCCCAACGCAATCGCGCAAGCCGGCGTTGCCGCGCCGCATCAACGGTCGGCGGGGCGCCTCTCGAAAGATTTTTCGTGCCAGCGGCCGTCCTCGGCCGTCTTGGAATCCAAGACGGCCGAGGACGGCCAACGCCAGGACGACCACATACGACACCACGACGTCAGAAGCTGGCTTCGAAGCAACCCACTGGGCCCGAAAACGACCCAGGCGGGCTTCAAGGGGACCCCTAGGGGTGCCTGATAGCAACAATCGCAGATGCCCAATAGTTGCGTTCAATGAGTTTCGCGTTCTCACCTTTCGGGGCTTCCATCAGCCCAAGACGACTCATGAAGCCCCCAAGGTGGCCCAAGACGGCCCAAGAAGACTCCTAGAGGGCCACAAGATGGTCCCAGAGGCCTTCAAGATGGTGCAAGAGGCTCCAAACCAGCCCAAGGAGGCCCTGAGATAGAACAGCCCAGGCATCTGGCACCTCCAATTTTTTCGATGCGTGGGCCCCGGAGGTCCGGACCACTTCCCTGGGGCCGGTTTTTCGTCCTGAGTCGTTCTTTGGCGCTCCCGAGGCCAGGCGAGGGCCCCCAGAGGCCCAAAACGGCCAAAACCCCGCAGCTCCAATCTTTTTGTAGCGTCGGATCTCTGGGAAGAGACCCTATAAACCCTCCACGGCCACAGGAGGGCCCGAAGGGCGGCTCAGAGAATCCCCCAAGACCCAAGACAAACTCCGCAGGCGCCAGACGGCCCGGGCCCGAGGACGCCCCCCAAACGCCCCCACGCCCAAAAGGCCTACGAAATGCCCCCAAAACGCTCCCAAAACGCCCCCCAAAACGACCCCAATGCCCGAGGACGCCCCCCAAACGCCTCCACGCCCCCGCGAGGAGGAGGGAAGCAGAGGAAGGACGGACAAAAGACGACGAACTTGGGGAGAGAGACGCTCCGACAGGAAGCGGAAGGGCGTGTCGCGTTTTCCGGCTCTCCCAAGCATCGGCTCTCCCAAGCCTCAGAACACGAGCTGTCACGCGCTACGGCTCCCTTGCGCTCCTCGAACAGTCGCCACCCAGAGTGCTGGGCTGGCCTGGTGGCAGGACTTGCCGCAGGCAGCTGGAGAACTTCTGGCGGCCCGGGAATCCGAAGACGGAAACAAAACACGGATGATTGCGAAACGACTCTCGTCTTGACTTGATGGATGCGCTGGGAAGGAAACCCTGAAAACCAACGAGTCGTCACACCTTAGGGAGCAAATCTTGGGTGCCAGCTCCTGGGGGGATGCATGTGAGCGCGGCTCGTGGTACGAAGCTGGATCAAGAGGCAGTAGCCCAGGAAGCAAACATGATTCAAATTAGACATGGATCAAGCCGCTTCAAGCCTGACCGAACCGAAGTAGGGCGCGCACGGGTGCCGACTATTGCCTGTTCGTTCAGGGCCTCTTGGGGCCGTCGAAAGACAAGGGCAAGATCAACTAACACCGAATCGGGAAATCGGATCCGATCGGAATCTGCGTCAGATCGGCTTGTATCGGCACGGACTCGGAATCGAATCGGAACGGCCGCGCCAAGAGTTTCAACAACGCCATTCAGACAACGGGCCGCATGGTATCGTCAGAGTGTAAGGATCGGATTGGATGGAGCGGGCCAAAGACGATCTCAAATCGGATCGATCGGATCAAAATTTGGCAAACGAGAAGGTACTGATACCGCTAGTCCCCGGACCTCTCCCAGGGTGCTTTCTGACCAAGATTTCAAGGCAAATCCAGCGGTGGCGACAAGGGCCTCCCAGGAGGCCCCAACACGGGAAAACGCGGGAAGGGTAGCGGTAGCGGTATCGGTTGTACCTTCTCCTTCTCCTAAGAAGCAGACCCTGTCAGGACCTGTGCTCAACTCAGCCTCTCAGGAGAGGCCACAGCTAAACCCTGGGCGGTCCTGCCGCGCGTGCCGCACAGGACAATGCGGTGGTCGGCCGAGAACAAATCGCGCGCCGCCACCACGCTGTCCGCCAGTTCGAAGCCGCCAGCCAGCTTGCACGCGGGCGCGACCTCCTCCGGCAGGCAGCTGACGTCTCCTGGGGGCCAGGGTCGGGCTTAAGGGGGGTATAGCGAATCGGTTCACGTAGCGTTTTGTCCTGGCACCCAGAAAAAGGCACGAACCGGCGGCGGGGCCAAAACCGGCTGCACGCACGAGACTCTCGAACCACCCTTACACCTGTCGTCCGACCTGAGAGGGGTGAGGGGGGATGCGCAGACGCCAGCTAAACTAGAGGAGCAAAAAACGGCATGAGCATACACTTGCTGAGGTCCATGCGGACTTCTTGAAACGGCGCTGGACTGCCCTGGCGGCGCCTCCAGCGCCGCTCCTGGCGCGCGGAGCGCGCCGGGGGCGGGGGACCAGCGCCGATCCAATCAATCCGCGCGGACCTCCGAAGAATATGCTCCGCTATACGCAGGACGGAGTGTACAACTCAGCCATCGTGCCACCCGAAGGAGCACGGAAGAAGGAACGGCGGGGCCCGTCTGGTCACCCCGAGCCTCGGCCACGGAGGCGTCCCCCGGCCTGCACCCGAGAGGGGGGGCTCGGAGACCAGGGCCCCTGCCGAGCCCGAAGCGGTCCCACTGTCGGCGTCTCGACTGTCTGCTTTTTCGGCGGCGAGCGAGGGGGGGGGAGCAAGACGGGGCGGGCCTCGGGAGTCCCCTGGTTCTAAGCCTTCACCGAAGGCGCAGGAAACCTCTCACAGCGTAGTGCCGACGGGGGTTGGCACATTGACGCCGCCCCCTTTTTCGTACGTAACACCACTGAACGATGCACGGTGCCTGAGGATGTTGACTCTCCAGGGGCATCAGTGGGAGGCTCTGGGGCCAAGGTGGCTAAAAGCTGGCCCAAGATGCCTTCAGATGGTCTCCAAGCAAGACGGTCCACGTTGGCTCAAGATGGCGTCCAGCATGCCTCCAAGATGCCCCTCACGGCCACTAGACGGCTCCAAGTGGCATCACAGCCGACCAAGGACGCACCCGACAGGCCAAAATCCGTCAAAAACCGTGCGCATGTTGTATCTAAGACGTCGGCCTTTCATCCTGTTTGCTTGCTGTTGGCATCCGAGGTCTCAAGATGACTCAAAGATCGCCCAAGAGTGCCCCAGGAGGGGACCAAGAGGGCGCCACGACTGCCCCAAGAGTGCCCAATAGCACGTCCCAAGAGGCCCAAAAGAGGCGGATGTCCAAACTCCAACAGGGGTAGGTAAAGTGTCTCCGCGCCCCCCTTTCCCCAAGCACAATAATTGAGCAACCTGTGTTTGAAGGATGTTGGCTTCCCAGGGGCATCAGTGGGAGGCTCTGGGGCCAAGATGGCTCCAAACTGGCCCAATATGCCTTAAGATGGTCTCCAAGACTGTCCACGTTGGCTCAAGATGGCGCCCAACATCCCTCCAAGATGCCCCAACACGGCTCCAAGTGGCCCCGGAGCCTACCAGGGATGTCCCCGATATGCCAGAATTCGTCAACACCGTACGTTGTTTCAATGAGCTCGGCCGTCTCGCCGCTTCGCTTCCGACGGGCGCCTGGGGCCTCCAGATGGCTCCAAGATGGCCCAAGAGTTCCCCAAGAAGGGGCCGCAAGGACGCCGAGACAGGCGCGAGAGCGCAAGAGACCGCCCCACGAGCCCCCCAGGAGGTTCTTGTTCGGTCTCCGACGGGGGACGGACAATTGGCACCACCGCTCCCCTTGTGCTCGCAAGCAAAATCGCTGAATTACCCGAGGGGCCTCTGAAGGATTTGAGCTTTTCCAGGGGCATCAACTAGGATGTTGTTTGGGCACATGCGGCTCAGAAAGAGTCCCATCTACTTCAATATGGCCTCCAGGATGACACAAGATGGTCCGAGTTGGCTCAAAACGGCGTCTGGCATGCCTCCAAGATGCCTCCAAGATGGCTTCAAGCAGCATCGTAGGCTCCCAAGGACGCACCCGAGAGACCAACATCCTTCGAACACCTGAGGTCGTGTCCATGATGTTGGCCTTCTCGCCATGCTTGAACAATGTCTCCAAGATGACCCCAAGCTCCCCCAAAAAGGACCCCAAGAGGGCCCCAAGCGAGCCCCGACAGCCTCAAGCAGTGCACCGAGGGTCCCAAGATTGCCCAAATCAGCTTCCAAGGGGTTCTCATTAGAGTGAGGGGGCCGAACGGTCATTCACTGTCCCGGGGTGCGTGGCTGAAGTGGGAATCCGCGATGCGGATTATTGCTAGTGTTGTTGGTGTTGTTGATCATGTTGGTGTTGGTGTTGTTGTTGAAGCTGCTGCTGTTGTTATGGTTGTGCTTGGTGTTGTCATTGTGTGTTTGTGTGTTTGGGTGTTTGTCTGATTGTTTGTTTGTGTGTTGATTGTTTGGTGTTTGTTGTTCGTTGTGTGCTGTTTATTACTTGTCATGTCTTGTTTGTTATTTGGTGTTTGTTGTTGTTGGTGGTGGTGTTGTTGTTGTTTGGCATCATCCCCCCCGCGACCCGGCCCGCGAACCACCCGCGACCCACCCCGCGACCCGCTCGCGACCCACCCGCGACCCACCCGCGAAACACCCCGCGACCCACTCGCGATCCGCCCGCGACCCACCCGCGACACACCCGCGACACACCCCGCGACCCACCCGCGACCCACTCACGACCCTCACCGCGACCCGCCTGCGACCCACCCGCGACCCACCCGCGACTCACCCGCGACCGGCCCGCGACCCGGCCCGCGACCCGGCCCGCGACCCACCCGCGACCCGCCCGTGACCCACCCGCGACCCACCACGCGACCCACCCACATTGCTTGAAGGAAAGCTCGCGTCTGCGGCGGGCTCGTTGTATAATTTGTAAAATTTCAGCTCCTGCGGCGGGCTTCTTCAGAGCCTCGCACACTGCCGATGTCCCCGCCGCCCCCTCACTCTTATCCTCGACTGCGGGGTGCTACGTATCGAGATATCTGCGACGGCACGATGATGAGCTCAAGGGTTTGCTAAGGTTGATCCTGAGCTGCGGTTTGACGGCTGGCCCCCCCCCCCGCCCGCCCCCCTCCCCTGCTTGCTCCTAAACTCCCCTGATCAATGCAACTCGCCTGGACATCGTTTCTGGGTGACCTGGATGAGCTGGCGGGGATATGCGAAGCGTGAAGAATTTGGCGTACGTGACGGCTAAACTGCGGATGTGCCCAGTGCCATGGGGCTGCGAGCTGAGCAGGTGGTGTTGGGGGACAGGGTCAGTGGGCCAGGCGGAGTGATCAGGCGCGCTTTCCGAGCTACAGAAAGGCCCACGGAGAATGGCCCTGCAAGTTCGATTAACAGCACATTGTTGAGCGGTGCTGCAGCCTCCCCTGAGCACATGCCCTCCCCCGAGCAGCAGCCAGTCAAGTCGGGTTTGCACCCTCATGCCTTGCTGCACTCCGGGCGCGTTTGGGCACCCTCTCCCCAAACCTCGTCAGGCCAAACGATAAGAGAGAGGGCGGCGGTGGCCGACGCGTCGGCATCAGTCAGGAGCAGGGGGAGGACGAGTCGATGCGTGCCGCGACCAATTCCCGTGCTAGAGGCCGAAGCGATGAGGCGGCCTCATAACGCACAACTGCGACACAACACGCGCTTGAGGCTACCCGTCTCGCCCAAGACCTCTGCCGCAGCAGGCCTCGGCCGGTACTCCTTGGAGCTTCCAGGGTTCCACCAGAACGCGCGCGTGGGGCTGTGGGGCCATCATCTTGATTGATAGCGTGTTGGCCTACATTCGGCTGCTTTGGAGTCTCCTTCCTCTCCCCTCTCCTCTTTGGGGCACGAAGCGGTTCTTGGACATGCGGATCCATGGAGCGAGCACTCCAGCTGATGTCTCACTCGAGCCTCCAAGCTTGCACTGGGTGGAGGTTCATGTTTTGGGAGTCTGAGGGAGCTGGGGCGGCAGGGGGGCGTGCTGGAGGGTGCCCTCTCGAAGCAAGACAGACCTCGACTTCTTACACCCAGCGTTTCACCTCCAGCACTCGCAGCTCACGTGCGGCCTCACACGGAGGCAGTGTTTACAATCGCTTCGGGCATCTAGTGCAAGGAAAATGCAGACTTGGGGGAGGTCCCCGCGGATTCATTGGATCGGCGCTTGGACACCCCTTTTCCCGCGCCGCCCGCCGCCAGGGGGTCCCAGCACCGATCCAAGAAATCCACGCGGAGCTCTCAAAGTTTCCGTTGATGCAACTTGTTCGTTCTTCGAGCCAAACAGGCAACTGCTCTTCATGTTTTCCGCAACGATGACCACACGCACCGATGTCAGATTTCTGAACTACGAGTGGTGAGTCCGACAGCTGTCCTGCCGCAGGACCCCCATGGTACTTTCCTCCTGGATGACACGAAGATCCTAGCTCGGAAGAGAAGGGGGGCAGAGAGGCGAGCGGGAGGAGAGGGGAGAGGAGAAGGCAGATACGAACATACCAAGCGGGCCGCTCGTACAACTGCTTCGGGCATCGTTCCGAGGAGGAGAGGAGGGATCCTGATTGGCCGTCTGCCCGGCTGTCGAACTGGATATTGATTCGGTCCTCGCTCCCCAAGCCCTGGCTGCTGCCCAGCACGGTTCCGTGCACGCCGAAGCGCACGCCGAGGGTGGGTCCGAACATGAGGTCCCTGGCTGCCACCACCCTGTGAAGGAGAAACACCACATAACCATGACCTTTCGGCGCTCCAGCTCCCCCGGCATCGCCTCTGGTGCCGCCTCTGGCGCGCTCCGCACGCCAGGGATTTGGTTCCAGCGCCGATCCCAGAAATCCGCGCGGAACTCCGAAAATCTATGCTTATGCATGTTTGTTCTTCTTCGAACCCTGGCGTCTAGAAGCTGCTTTCGGGCCCCTGGCCTGGGCGAAAAACTATCTCCAAGAGAAAGGGTTCGAGAGTTCAGGGAACCCCGCATACATCGGTCAGAAAGGAATGGGTGCAAGCATGAAGCAGAAAAGCGCCAAGAGTAGATTGTGTTTCCGCCCTCCTCCCGGACAGGAGGGAAGGGGGAAGACCGCCGTTCGACTCTTGAAGTAGGAAGGCGCCGAAAGTAGACTGGGATCTGTGAATCCCATCAAATCCACCTTAAACAACCGATAGGCGTTCAAAAGCGCACACACACAGACACACACACACACATACACACACGCACAGAACAGAAACACGACGCGGGAGATCCGTGCACGCAACGCTGCCCAGCCACCGGGGGGGCCCGCGGGCCTGCGGATGCCTCACATGGTGGCGGATGCGTGCCTTCCCCCGACGGTCCCTCCAAGAACAGATCGTGCTGCCATCGCCCTCCGCCCCCCTCCCCGCCCCTCCCCCCCACCTGCTGCGGGGCTGAGGGTGGAGGCGGCGTCTCCGTTCCGTGGAGCGGGCCCCAGGAGTTCCCGCGGGTCCCCCGAAACGGCGTGGTGACCACAGCGTGTGGAGATCCAGTGGGGGATCCGGGGTGGCCGCACGGTCTTTGGGTCTTGGCTCGTTCTCCGAGGCTGTTTCTGGCGACTGGGGCCTCCGAGGTCCCGAGATCGTGCGGTGACGGAGCGTGCGGTGCGATTCTTCATTTCGGGGTTAATTACCGAACGGTCTGTCACCGCACCATGCTTGGGACCCTTATATGTCCCCAACCCAGTTCCCGCAACCATGTTGGGACGGGGGCAGTTCAGATCTGGCACGACCTCTGGCCCAGCCGCACGCCGAAGCGGGCGGGGAGCTGCCTGACCAACTCGCCCAGCGTGACATTGAGGCAACCCTCAGCGCCGTCCATCCGGTCCTCAAACTTTACGGTCACCCGTCCGTCTTCCTGCTCGGAGCGCCCGACCACAAATCCAGCGCCGCTCATGGGCACCACAACCTTTCTCTCGTTGCCGACGCCCGTGGTGAGGTCCCGCGAGGCCGCGACCTCATCCAGCAGGGCGAAGTTCCCAGGGATGGCCTGCTGCTCCTCCTCGAGGTCCTGGTCGGCCGCGCCGTCCAGTCTTCTTCTCTCCAGCTCCTCTGGGAACAGAGCCTCCACCGCCGCCGCCAGCATGCGCGACACGCCAGGGAGCCTCAGGGGCATCCGCGCCTCGCAGCCCGCGTGCGGGCACCGAGGGACGCCCGACTCGCGGCACTTCCTCAACACCCACTTCTTCAGGCACGCTTGGCAGAACGTGTTGCCGCAGCATGGCACCACTGTCGGCTCCAGCACCAGCTCAGAGCACAGCCCACACTCGAAGAGATCGTCTGGCAGTTGGTCTGCCAGCGGGGGCACCATGGGCTCCTCCGCGCGAGGGGGAGGAGGCAGTGCAGGAGGGAATGAGGGAGGACCTGGGGGCGGAGGCAAGAGCTGCCGCCGCGACCGCGGAGGCCACAGGCGCCCTGAGCCAGGCAGATGCCGAGGAGGCGGGCGACGACTAGGAGGACGGAGGAGGGCCAGCGTCGAGGGCTTCTGAGAAGTCCCGCCGCCTTCCGAGCAGGCCTTCTCGCTTCCCCCCTCGCTCGCCGCCGAGGTCGTGCTACCTTTTTCAAGGGAACCCAACCAGCCCTCGACGCACCCCCCCCCTTGGAAACCACTCCTTTTCCTTCCCCCCCCACCCCGTCCGCCTGCGGTCCACACCCCCTGGGGAAATGCGGATAGGCAAGCGCGTTCCACTACTCGCAAAGTCACTACTCGCAACTAGCCCGGATCAGCCGCGGAGGATTCACGATAAATTACGTCGAGGCGATCGTGTGTTTTTGGGACGTTTGCGAGTAGGCACTTTGCGAGTCGTGGAGCGCGCCCGGTGAGCGGAGGGGGGCGACGGGCGAAGCACCCGCCCGCTCTCCCCGCGGGGTCGGTCGCCGCAGAGCTTCTGGGCGTGGAGGGAGACCACGTCCCACGCGTGCACGCTCAGCTCCTGGAAGCCAGGCGGGGAGAGCGAAGGGTGGGCGAGGTGAGGGGGCTGTTTTCCACCATCACCACCAGAAGTTGGAGGGGAGGGGGTCCTCCTCCTCCTCCTCCTCCTCCTCCTCCTCCTCCTCCTCCTCCTCCTCCTCCTCCACATCGTCCTCCTCCTCCTCCTCCTCCTCCTTCTCCAACTTATGGTGGTGTTGATGGAGAACAGGCCCATCACGAGGGGCTCGAGGCTCGAGGTCGAGCATGTCCCTACGAGGACAGTGACAACAACAACAACAACAACAACAACAACCTATTCGCCGTGTCTGGGCATCCGGGGGGCGTCTCGTCGCCACGGCTGACGTAACAAAGCACACCAATGGACAGGTCCCGACAGGTCTGGGGGCCGACTTTGATGAGATTGCCGGAGAGGAGTAGAAGGAGGGGGAGGAATAGACTACTAGGAGAAAGCAAAGCACCGTCGGACCAGGCAGAACGAGCCCAACACCAGCCCAGCTGCGGACACGGGGTCCACCGACGGCAACCAGGATTAAGTCGGGCTTGTCCTCCTACAGGCGGATATTGGACGAAACATTTAAACTAGTCACACAAATTGCTCCCAAACTATCAAAAAATAATGAACACATCGTCTCAAGGCTATGTTTTGACTATTTTGAAGATTTCTCCTGTAGAGGGACATGCCCGACCTAAAATCAAGACCACCACCTTTGACTCCACCGTTCCGACACAATCTAGTGGCGCTTCCTCACACGCCGCACTCCCAGACAAGGATGGGCAGCCACTGGGCGCAGGGAGCCTCTGCATCTGCAACGACGACCCCAGCGACAGCTCAGCAGCTCCAGAGTTATGTTCCAACAAACTTTGGCCTTGATCACCAAAATGAGCTTCGTGCACCAAGGAAGTACCGAAACTTACGGGTTTTCACGTGTCGGGCCCTGGGAGGCGATACTCGTTCGACACCGTTTCGGTACTTTTTTTTCTGGGTGCTCGAAATTATTTAGGGGATGTGAACCTTAATTACGCTGCCGAGGAACCCCACATACTTATATGATGGCTGGAGTGATGATAGCTGAAGTGAAGCATGTAAGAATGATGTTGGTGGCCGTTGCCACCCCCTGCGCACCCCCTATTTTGTCCAGAAGGTGCCACGTGTGCTATGCCCTGGACGACCGTCGTGCATAGCGGCCGCGGTGAGGGACCACCCCCTGCGCACCCCCTATGGTGTCAAGAAAGTGCCACACCTGCTATGCCCTGGACGACCGTCGTGCATAGCGGCCGCGGTGAGGGACCAACCCCTGCGCACCCCCTATGGTGTCGAGAAAGTGCCACACCTGATAAGCCCTGGACGACCGTCTCGAATAGCGGCCGCGCTCGGGGACCATCCCCTGCACACCCCCTATGGAATCGAGAAAGTGCCACGCCTACTATGCCCTGGACGACCGTCTCGGATAGCGGCCGCGCTCAGGGACCACCCCCTGCGCACCTCCTATGGAATCGAGAAAGTGCCACGCCTACTATGCCCTGGACAACCGTCTCGGATAGCGGCCGCGCTCAGGGACCACCCCCTGCGCACCCCCTATGGTGTCGAGAAAGTGCCACGCCTGCTATGCCCTGGACGACCGTCTCGGATAGCGGCCGCGCTCAGGGACCACCCCCTGCGCACCCCCTAAGTGTCGAGAAAGTGCCACGCCTGCTCTGCCCTGGACGACCGGCGCGGATAGGGGGACCACCCCGTGCGCACCCCCTATGGTATCGAGAAACTGCCACGCCTGCTACGGCCTGGACGACCGGCGCGGATAGGGGGACCACCCCCTGCGCACCCCCTATGGTGTCGAGAAACTGCCACGCCTGCTACGGCCTGAACGACCGGCGCGGATAGGGGGACCACCCCCTGCGCACCCACTATGGCGTCGAGAAACTGCCACGCCTGCTACGGCCTGGACGACCGGCGCGGATAGGGGGACCACCCCCTGCGCACCCCCTATGGTGTCGAGAAACTGCCACGCCTGCTACGGCCTGGACGACCGGCGCGGATAGGGGGACCACCCCTGCGCACCCCCTATGGTGTCGAGAAAGTGCCACGCCTGCTACGGCCTGGACGACCGGCGCGGATAGGGGGACCACCCCGTGCGCACCCACTATACGGCGTCGAGAAACTGCCACGCCTGCTACGGCCTGGACGACCGGCGCGGATAGGGGGGCGACCACCCCCTGCGCACCCCCTATGGTGTCGAGAAACTGCCACGCCTGCTACGGCCTGGACGACCGGCGCGGATAGGGGGACCACCCCGTGCGCACCCACTATGGCGTCGAGAAACTGCCACGCCTGCTACGGCCTGGACGACCGGCGCGGATAGGGGGACCACCCCCTGCGCACCCCCTATCGAGAAAGTGCCACGCCTGCTACGGCCTGGACGACCGGCGCGGATAGGGGGACCACCCCCTGCGCACCCCCTAGAAACTGCCACGCCTGCTACGGCCTGGACGACGCGGGCGGATAGGGGGACCACCCCTGCGCAGTACGGCGTCGAGAAACTGCCTGCTACGGCCTGCTGCGCCTGGCCACCCTGGACCACCCCCTGCGCACCCCTATGGTGTCGAGGCCACGCCTGCTACGGCCTGGACGACCGGCGCGGATAGGGGGACCACCCCGTGCGCACCCCCTATGGTGTCGAGAAACTGCCACGCCTGCTACGGCCTGGACGACCGGCGCGGATAGGGGGACCACCCCCTGCGCACCCCCTATGGTGTCGAGAAACTGCCACGCCTGCTACGGCCTGGACGACCGGCGCGGATAGGGGGACCACCCCCTGCGCACCCCCTATGGTGTCGAGAAACTGCCACGCCTGCTGCGGCCTGGACGACCGGCGCGGATAGGGGGACCACCCCGTGCGCACCCACTATGGCGTCGAGAAACTGCCACGCCTGCTACGGCCTGGACGACCGGCGCGGATAGGGGGACCACCCCCTGCGCACCCCTATCGAGAAAGTGCCACGCCTGCTACGGCCTGGACGACCGAGTTGAGCTGTGCTGTGCTGAGCTGAGCTGAGCTGTGCTGAGCTGTGCTGAGCAGTGCTGTGCTGTGCTGTGCTGTACTGTGCTGTGCTGTGCTGTGCTGAGCTGTGCTGTGCTGAGCTGAGCTGAGCTGTGCTGAGCTATGCTGAGCAGTGCTGTGCTGTGCTGTGCTGTGCTGTGCTGAGCTGAGCTGAGCTGTTCTGAGCTGAGCGGAGCTGAGCTGTGCTGAGCTATGCTGAGCAGTGCTGTGCTGCGCTGTGCGAGAAGGAGAATGGGAGGGGGGAGGTGTGAGACGCGGGTGCGGCGCGGCAGAGAAGAAAACCATAACCCCACGAAACATGTGGGGAAGTACGATAACCCCAAACCCCTGACTTATGTTGGCTGCAGGACCCGTGGCACGGGCCACCGTCACAGTGAGGAGCACCAACATCAATGCCACATCTCCCAGCAACACACCCTCCCAGCTGCATCTGCCCGCGCGGAGCGCAGTTCCCCAGGCCTTCCCGGGCCTCCAGCGACGCTGCTCCTACGGCGGCACGACCACAACTCCTCTGGAAGAAATCCGGCTGAGGCCGAAATAGCGAAACGACCTCGGAATTCTGTGTCAAGATGGTGAAGCTTCGCCTTCCGGGGCCGACCAACCTCCCCGCAGACCCGTCCGGGGGGGGCGCTCTGGTCAAAACTCCGACGCAGAGAAAGCTCCTGGGTGGCCCGGAGGCGCCCCAACGCACCGTCCTCTCGGCGATCGACAACGGATCCTCCTCGAACCTCGACGCTCCAGGTCGGGACATCTGGCGCTCCGCCCCTCGCGATGCGTCTGCGGCATCCTCCGAGCGCTGCCGGTCTGCGAGGGCCCCAGAAGCCGAAGCTGTGCGAGAGCGCGGGGGGCCCGAACGGAAACTGCGGCGCCAGGATTTCGGGGCGAGAGAAGCCCTGGGACCGAGCGGGAAACGGATGGCGGAGGCAGGGGACGATGATGCTGAGGATGAGGAGGAGGAGGAGGATGATTTGTTCCTCGACATCGTGACCAAACTGTTGAACAACAGGTTTTAGAAAACATGATCCGTCGCATAGAGCTCGATTGCTCCCTCAAGAGCTCGCTAGGAGCTGTGCTTCACGGGGCGTTGCACACATGTGCGCGCGGTCCAGGGAAAACCGTAGACAGCTGGCGATGCCCGCGTTGCATGCTGAGCGTTGGGAGGATCGGAGGTTGGAGAAGAGACCGTGGCTCAGGCTGGCCACGCAAGCCCCGTCGCGAGGCCAATCATCTCAAATTCTTTCAAGGGGGAATCACGCTTGCATCTGGATAGCTCTCGGATTCGAGAGCTGATCGCGTGGGCCATCGGGCCCTTCAAGGTGGGCCGACCCCGAGTCGGCAGCTGCTGGGCCGCCTGGTCCAGTCGCAAAGAATGAAGCTGCAGAGTCTTGCTGCGCCAACCCTGCCGACCCCGAGTCTGCTGGCCCAGAAAAGAAAACAGAAAAAGCTGAGACTGGCGGCGCACGCCCTACGGCACGCTCCAGCTCTGAGTCTTCTAGGACTGGCGGCGCACGACCTGCGGCATGCTCCTGCTCTGAGTCTGCTGAGACGGCGCACGCCCTGCGGCGTGCTCCAGCTCTGAGTCTTCTGAGACTGGCTGCGCACGTCCTGCCGACCCCGAGTCGGCAGCTGCTGGGGGGTCTGGCCCAGAAGCGAAGACAGAAGCTGCTGACACTGGCGGCGCGCGCCCTTCGGCACGCTCTTTCGTCGTAGTGCCTCCTGTGGCACTGCTCCGCTCCGTAGCGCATGACGTCGGCGAAGGGCTCGTCGTAGTGTCTCCTGCGGGACAACTCCACTCCGCAGCGCATGATGTCGACGTAGGGCTTGTCGTAGTGCCTCCCGTGGTATTGTTCCACTCTGTAGCGCATGGTCTCGGCGAAGGGCTCGTCGTAGCGCCTCCTGTGGTACTGTGCACTCCGCAACGCATGATGTCGGCGAAGGGCTCGTCGTAGTGTCTCCTGCGGGACAACTCCACTCCGTAGCGCATGATGTCGACGTAGGGCTTGTCGTAGTGCCTCCCGTGGTATTGTTCCACTCTGTAGCGCATGGTCTCGGCGAAGGGCTCGTCGTAGTGCCTCCTGTGGTACTGTGCACTCCGCAACGCATGATGTCGGCGAAGGGCTCGTCGTAGTGCCTCTCGTAGTACTGCTCCACTCCAGCGATGTTGGCAACGTCATCCTTGAGTGTGTCCCCCCGCGCTTCGCCCATGCGCTTCGTGCGCGGCTCGTGCTCCGCCTTCAGGTTCTCCTGCTGCGACTTCTTGGGCTCCTGCTGTGAGAGCACAAACTGCGCGGAACGAAAGTGCAAAAAGATGCGCGCGTTGTCGTCGTCGCAGCCGCGGTACTCAACGATGTACGCGATGTTGGACTGTTCTCCGTTGGCGGCACAAGTAAGTAGTAGCTCCCGTTGGCAGTATGCAAGAAGATGTGCACCTTGCCATCGTCGCAGCGGTGGCACTGGAAGTGGTACTCGACTTTGGACTTCGCCCGGTCAGTTGCGCAAGCGAGGTGGTACTTTCCCATGACGATGGCAACCTGACCGTTGGTTTCGATCTTGCGGTTGTCGTGCACCTTCTCGTTTTGGTTGCGCCGCACCACTGCCAAGAACTTCGTAAGCAGCTCGTGCTCCGCCTTTACCGCCACCAGTTTTCTCTTCTCGGCGCCGTCGAGCTGCTTGGGCTGCTGCTCGGTGTGCTCGTTGGATGTGTGGCGCATAAGCAGCGGCAAGTTCTTGTAGTGCGGCTCCCAATTGAGGGAAACCCCATCAACCGGCCTCAGCATGCAACGCGCCAGCATGCCGCACGAGGCGCACCTCCGAAGCTGGCATCCGTGCGAAATGCCATCGCAGTATGCTCTGCCTCTTGGTGAACAATGGAAGGCTCTTCTGAGGGGACCGCTGTGTCACCGAAGGCTTGAGCGCGCGGCGGCCTTGATGATGATGATGCTGATGAGGAGGAGGAGGAGGACGAGGAGGAGGAGGGCTAAAATGATGATGAGGAGGAAACGGAGAAGGAGGAGTCGGAGGAGGAGGAGGAGGAAGAAAAGGAGGAGGTGGAGGAGGAGGAGGAGTAGAAATCCTTGGCGAGGCCGTAGACGTGCTGGGCCGCCAGCTGAACGCACTGCTGCGTGTCCGGGTGCGTCAGCGCCCCGTACGCGGCCTCCGGGGCGCCCGCCGTCCAGGGCGCGGCCGCAGCCGCCGTCGTCGCCGTCGCCGCCGTTGCCGTGGGGAAGCGGATCGAAGCGAAGGCGACGGAGTCCCAAGGTGACCCCAATACGCCCCAAGAGGCGAGAGAGCCTAGGAGGGCCCCAAGTGGGGCCCAAGAGGGTGAGCCCGAACCGACGATGCAGGTCAGAAGAGCGCAGCATGGCATAGCATGGCATTGCGTAGCCAAGCTTTGCAGATCATAACATTGCATAGCAAGGTATGGCATTGCATCGCGGCGCATGGTCTAGCACTACGTTTGATGTCATGGCGTGGCGCTGCGCAATATAGTATGGTACGTTGTTGCGTAGCACAGCATTGCATAAAACAGCATAGCAAAACAAAACTGAGCATCGCATAGCGCCATATGAAATAGCATTGCGTCGCATGCCATGCCATGGCGCTGCATACTACAGTATGGTGTGGCGTTGCGTAGCCCAGCATTGCATTTCACGACATTGCAGAGCAAGGCAGGGCACCGCATAGCGGTACACACTATGGCATTGCATCGTATGCCAGAACACCGCACAGTATGGCGTGACAAAAGTCTGCATACGCTAGCATATAGCATAGCACGAACAGCGCAAACGGTTTGCGCGAAAAGCCGAGCCGAAGTCAGGTTAAACTGGCCAGGTATCGGAACCCAGGTCGCGCTTGTGCTTTCAAAGGCAAACCATAACCCCGCAAGCAAACCGAATTGGGGAATAGCACGCCCTTCACGGGTCATGAGATCCGAATGTCATGGCTTCCGAGTGTCATCCCGATAACCACCGACGAGGACGCGGACGAAGGAAGGACCAGCATAACCACGACGACGACAACGAGGAATGACGCCAACGCTACAGCGGGAGCACCATAGGGAAGGACCGAGAGCTCGGGAGAAATGAAGCCAATGCTGCAGCGGGAGCACCAATTTGAAGGACCGAGAACTGGTGTGGAATATACGCGGAGGGGGGTGCGACGCTCTCAAGATGAGTACTGCTCATACAGTGTAACTGTGGGAAACGCGGAGGAAGAGGACGAGGAGGAGGAGGAGGAGGAGGTGGAGGGAGAAGGGCATGTTTTGTTATCATTCCCAGTAACGGTCGTTACTGGGGGGGGGCAGGCAACGGTAACGCTTGGGCGGGGGAGCAGGAGGCAAAGCCATAAGCTTTATGGCGCGTTAGTAGCGAATGCAGCACACAGGCGTTCGCGACATCGTTCTGCGGGGAAGGGCGCGCCAGGGCGGGGGTGCGCTGCGATCGCCGCAGTATGCGTGCGAGCACCAGCATGTGAGGGTCCAGACCACCCCCCCCCAACGCACGATCGTGACCGTTACCCGCGGGGAGGAGCCCGGCCAACGACCGTTGCGCGCCCCCGCTTCTTCCTCTGCGGGGAGGGGTTCGCCTCTCCCCCTACCCCCCTACCCCTGGGGGGGTCGCGAGGTGTCAGAGGGTCTTTTTTGGGCCTCGGCGAGATCCTCTTCTGTGCCCGATCTCCTTCAAGATGGCACCAAGAGATGCCCAAGAAGGAGGCCCTAAGAGGCCCCCAAGATGCCCCCGAGAGGCTCCCAAGAGACCCCCGAGACATCTCAAGATGCCCCCCAGTGGAAACCAAGACGTCCCAAGAGGCCTTGGCAAAATGGCCAACATAATTGGTGTTACCATTGTTTTGGCCAGATGTTGGCCTCCGGGGGGGGGGGGGCGCCCTGATTAAAGAGCCCCCCTCCTTTGATAGATCTCCTCCAGGATAGCCTCAAAATGGCCCCCGAGGCTCCCAAGGGTGCCGCCGAAGCACCAAAAGGTGCCCAGGAGGCCCCAAGAGGCCCCCAAGAGGCTCCCGGCGAAAAAACGCCCAAATCATTGATTTTACTTGAGTTCGGTCCGCAATCTGACCTCCTGGTGAAGCCCTAAGTAAGGAGCCCCACTCCTTTGATCGGTCTCTCCCAAGATGGCCCAGGATGGCCCCCGAGGATCCCAAGGGTGCCCCAAGACGGCGCCAAGAGGTGCCCAGGAGGCCCCAAGAGGCCTCCACGATACCCCCGAGATGCCCCCAAGAGGCTCCCAAGAGACCCCCAGGAAGCTCCAAACGGCCCCCCAGAGGAACCCACTATGCCCCCAAAGGCCTCCTGGACTACCAAGAGACCCTCAAGACACCCCAAAAGGACCCCAGTTCACTCTCGAAAGCAATCCGAAGAGGCATCCAAGAGGCCTTGCCCTCCTCCTCCTCCTCCTCCTCCTCATCCGCCTCTTCCTCATCGGCCTGTGCGTCATCCTCCCTTCTCCCCGTCCCCTGCTCCCTCCTCCTCCTCCCACTCCTCCTTCTCCTCCTCCTCTTCCTCCTCCTCCTCCTCCTCCTCTTCCTCCTTCTCCTCCGATTCCTCCTCCATCCTCCCCCTCTTGGGTTTTACGGAACCCTGATCAGGGCAACTCGTCTAGGCATCGTTTCTGGGTGGACTGGTGGGGTTACGCGAAGCGTCTAGAACAAGCTGTTAGGAAGTCACATGCGAAGCGGCTGCTGGACCGGGCGGGCTGGGGATTCCCCGCCCCCCCAGTGGCACTCTTGCGTGGTCCTTTGGGGGGCCACATATTTGAACCCTCTGACGAAACGCTATTCCCAGACCCCCGACGTAATTTTTTTCGTAACGTCCCCAGGACCGAATTTTCATCATGCGTCCTTTTTTAACGGGCCCGAGGCCCGGTAAAGGCTTCCAGAGGCCTCAAACAGCTAACATCCGTCCGTCGTGATTTTTGTCGCGACGCGAGGGGGTCTGGGCTTGGGAACAGGAAGAGGACGTCTTTCGGGGGGACGGAGCCGCCGGACCACCACGAGGGCGGCCGACGCGCCCGAGCCAGGCGAGTGCTCCCGAAAGCGCAGTGAGCCCGCCGCGCAGGGGTCGCGGCGCCGACCAGACCAGCAGGCCCTCCACTGCGGACCCCCTCGCGTCGTGGAAACAAATCGCGGCGGGAGGGTGTTCGCTGTCTTCGGCTCCTGGGGGCCATTACTGGACCCTGGGACCGGCGAACAACGACTCGGGACGAAAAGACGGTCTTGGGGAGTGGGTCGACGCGAGGGGGTCTGCAGGGGATCGAAAAATGACATGTACATACAAAACTAGGAGGTCCGCGCGGCGTTCTTGGATCCGCGCTGACCCCCCTCCCTGGCACGCGGAGCGCGCCAGGGGCGGCGCCGGAGGCGCCGCCAAGGGTCTCTAGCGCCGATCCGAGAAATCCGCGCGGAGCTCCGAGTTTTTATGTTTACGTCATTCTTCGCTCCCCTAGAAAAACTGGTCATGGGGAGTGGGTCGAGACCCCCGGAATCGACGCGAGGCGGTCAGCACTGGCGACCCGCAGCAGTTTTTTGCGCAGAGCCGAGCAGATCTGAAAGCAAGTTTGTGGCCTGCTACTGCCACGAGCGTCAAACATTGAACACAAGTCTTGCTGAACCCTTCCTGCCACATTCCTTGAGGTTGCGGATGCCATGACAATGGGCACCCTAACGACCCTATCATTGAATCAAACGTGTGCTTAAAATGTTGGACAAATGTTTTGAAATATTAAAAACATGTGCTTATATAGGGTAAGGACATGTTTGGACCATTTATGAGACACCCGGAAATCATTTGGCAACACGCTTTCTCTCAATTGATTGTCGTCCACAACCTTGAGGTCGACGCGAGGGGGTCTGGGTCCCTGGCCGCCCGCCGCTGTGCGCCGCCTCGCGCGCCCCGCCTCGCGCGGGGCACGCTACACGCGCTCGCGCGGGGCCGGCCCGCGGCGCGCCCGGGTGTGGCCCGCGGCGCCTCCGCCGCGCCGAAGAGACAGTCCACCGGGCGGGCGTCCTCCGCGCGCGCGGGAGCGCATGGTGCGAGGCGGGGATTTACCCACATCCACCGCCTGGGAAGTGACGTCCTGGTGCCCCGGCGGGCGGCGGATGTGGGTATATTTGAACCCGCATACCCACCGCATATCCACCGCCTGCGGAGGTCTGCGAGGGTCGAACCCCAGGCGGTGGCTATTGAGAACAATCCCCGCCTCGGAGCATGGTGCGCGCCGAGGACGGGGGCGGTCAGCCTCGGACCGGGAGGTCGGATCGGGTCGGGACGTGCTCTTCGGCGGCGACGATGGGGACGAATTGCCCAGGAGCGGGCATCATACGCATTCGCCCGGGAGCCTTTCCGAAGACATAGATCATCGGCGCACCTGAGTACATGTATTGCTCTCCCCTGGGCTATTCGCCCCTATCGTCGCCTCTAAGCCCTGAGCTCTGGGCGTCGCCGATTTTTGCTACGCCTGGCGTCTTCGCCAGGCTCTGGGCCTCGGGGCCATGCCATGCCGGATCGCTCCGGCTTGACAGATGCCGCATGAGGATGGGGTAACTATGGGGTTCCGAACGTGATGTTTCGCGGTGTCGCCATTTTGTCGCAACGTCGGGTCGCAAGGTGCGCCGGATCGGACCGCATCGGCACGGAGTTGGAAACGGATCGGATCAGCCGCGCCAGTACGCACTACATCGCCACTGCCGACATCGAACCGCATTGAGGCGCCGAAGCATCGGAATCGAATCGGATCGGGCTGGCCGAGGCCGATATCGAATCGGATCGACTTCCAAGAATCTGACTCTTGAAAATGAAACCTCTCTCTGCCTCTCTGTCTCTCACTCTTTCTCTCTCTCTCTCTCTGTTTCTCCTGCCCCTACATTTTTATATAAAAACAAGAACTGCAGTGGCGCTTCGCGCCATGCACCTTGGTCCTTGAAGTTTGGTATGCAGGCGGAATAGCAGGAAGGTCAAGCCGACAACTTAGCGATAACTCCTGGTTGCCTTTTCTGGCATCGCCGCTATAATAATGCTATTCGTTATCCTTCCTCCATGCTTCTTTTTCCTTATTTTCGCCATGCCCTGCGCATTCTCCCCATCCTCCTCAGCTCTTTTTTGCGGAGGCTCCTCCTTGGAGAGCCTCTAGGGGCTTCTCAAAAGTTGTTTCAGGCTTTCTTAAGGCCTTCTGGAGACCTCCTGGGCGTATTCTGGGGGCCTCCTGGGGCTTCCTCGGGCCACCCTGCCTCCAACCGCGGTCTCCCTGAACGACCGAATCACGATTTGGAATTATTCGGAGGGTGTCTTTGGGCCATCTTGGGCCGCCATGGGGCTCTCTCAGGGCCATCTTGGACCCGTGTTGTGCCGTTTTGGGGCTCTCTTGGACTGCCTGGAAGCCGTTTCGTATGGTTGTGCGGCGATTTGGGAGCCTCCCAGGCGGCTTCGGACGCCCAGAAGACCGCCGTCTTTGGAGCGTCGGGAAGCCGAAAAGAGGAGAACCCCAAAACTCACCAAAAACCTACAGAAAATGAATGATGTTTGCCTCGGGGGGCCTTCTTGGGAGTGCTCTTGGAGACCTCTTTGGGGCCGTCCTGGAGGCCTCTTGGGCCATCTTGAGGTCACGTCGGTCACTCTTGGAGCGCTCTTTTGCTGTCTTGGGGGTCTCTGGGACGTCTCCGATGGCCCCCCTGATCGCCCTAGGTGTGCTGGGAAGGCTGGGCAAAACGCCCTGCGAGGCCCGGAGGCCGCTTCGAGGCCCGTCCGGAGGGTCCCAAAGCCCCAGATCCCGGGAGTTCGGTTTTTTTTTGGGGGGGGACTGGTTTTCCCCCCGCCCGGGCTTATACAAAGATAGGAAAAGGAGTATTCACACACATAGAGTGTATGTGGATGCCGTTTTCCCTCTGAGAAACAAGGAGCGCACGCACAGCCCGCCCCTGCCGCTGCAGGCGGCGAGGGCCCAGCACGGAGCGGCTCTGGCCAGAGCGAGGCCCGACTGCGAGGCCCGCCCTCGACGCGCCCCGAGGAGCAGCGACCGCAGGAGGACCTAGAGTTAGGCCGGGCGCGTCCTCCTGCAGGCGGAACTTGGGCGAAACATTTGAACAATACTTCGAACATGTTCAAAAGTAGCCAGAAAGTTGTCAACCGAATCGTCCCCAGGCTATTTTTCTTACTATTTTTGAATCTTCCCCCTGCAGAGGGACACGCCCGACTTAAAGCTAGAGCTCGGCGGCGAGCCCCAGGGGGGACGTGACAAGGAGCGGGCCTGCCCCGAAGACACAGAAGCCTTCTCGGAAGGCCCGCAGGCTTCTGAGAAGCCCCGCCGCCTTCTCCTTCTCACTTCCTCCCCTCGTTCGCCGCCGAGCATTGCCCGCCTCCTCGAGCTCTCACGGCGTGCTGCTATCATGATGGCGTCGGATCGGCCCTTTGTCACCGCGCGAACCGTTCAAGTTTGAGCGATCTCCGCTGCCGGCTCCAACTCCAGAGGGACCACCTCGTGGGGTCCCATGCCTCACAGGGTCCAACCAAACGAGGTGCCACCCTGTATGGTCTCCCCCATGAAGTCAAATTACACATGGCTCCAAAGCCAGGGTGGGGAGGAGGAGGAGGAGGAGGAGGAGGAGGAGCAAGAGTAGGAGTAGGAGTAGGAGTAGGAGGAGAAGGAAGGGAATAAGACGAAACAAACAATAGCACTACTACTACTACTACTACTACTACTACTACTACTACTACGACTACTACTACTACTATTACTACTACTACTACTACTACTACTACTACTACTACTACTGCTGCTACTACTACTACTACTACTACTACTACTACACTACTACTACTACTACTACTACACTACTACTACTACTACTACTACTACTACTACTACTACTACTACTACTACTACTACTACTACTACTACTACTACTACTACTACTACTACTACTACTACTACTACTACTACTACTACTACTACTACTACTACTACTACTACTACTACTACTACTACTACTACTACTACTACTACTACTACTACTACTACTACTACTACTACTACTACTACTACTACTACTACTACTACTACTACTACTACTACTACTACTACTACTACTACTACTACTACTACTACTACTACTACTACTACTACTTACTACTACTACTACTACTACTACTACTACTACTACTACTACTACTACTACTACTACTACTACGACTACGACTACTAGTACTAATAAAAATAAGAAGAAGCAGAAGAAAATGATAAATAATACTGCTATTAAAAATACTACCCGTGATAATAATAAGAGTATTACTAATGAGAATGATACTACCACTAATAGGAAAAAGAAGAAGATGACGAAGGGGAGGAGGAGGAGGAGGAGGGCGACGACGACAACGAGAAGGAAGAAGAGGAGGAGGACTAATAGGAAGGGGAGGAGGAGGAGGAGGAAGGGAATAAGACGAAAAATATTAGTAGTAATACTAGTAGTAGTAGTAGTAGTAGTAGTAGTAGTAGTAGTAGTAGTAGTAGTAGTAGTAGTAATAGTAGTAGTAGTAGTACTACTACTACGACGACGACGACGACGACTACTACTACTACTGATAATAACATTACGAATAAGAACACGAATAATAACAATAAGATGATGAATTATTTAAAAATTTAGGAGAACTAAGAAAACTACTAATAGTAGTAATAAACATAATAATAATCATCATAATCATAATGATAATTAAATTAATAACAATAATAACAATAATAATAATAAGAGTACTAAGAATGATAATACTACTAATGATGAAAATAATATTAATAACAATAATAATAATAATAATGAAAATACTAATAATGATAATAATAATGATACTAAGAATAAGAAGATGACGCAGGGGAGGAGGAGGATGACGACGACGACGACAACGAGAAGGAAGAAGAGGAAGAGAACTAGGAGGAAGGGGAGGAGGAGGAGGAGGAGGAAAAGGAGGAGGAAGTGAAGAACGAGGAACAGGAGGAGGAGGAGAAAGGGGAGGACGTGGAGGAGGAGTAGGAGGAGGAGGAGGAGGAGGAGGGGGAGGACGTGGAGGAGGAGCAGGAGGAGGACGAGGACGACGAGGACGACGACGCGGTGAGGACGAGGGGCGAGGACGAGGAAAGGGTTTGACAGGCCTCGAAGCAGTCATGCCCGCTCACCGGCACCTTCTGCCAGGCTCCGCGGGGTGGTGAGGCCCCCAAAGAGCGGCGCGCTGCCCTTATGGCTCCCTCGTGGCGACCGGGATGTCAGCGGGGCCTTCGGGGACGCACTGACCCGGGTCAACGCAAGCCTGGGCCAGTCGGGCTTGCAAGATCCTGCAACCTCCTGCAGGATCCTGCGCGCCAGCCTGGGTCAATGCAACCCTGGCTTTGCAGGATCCTGCAAGATCCGGCGCTCTGGTTGACCCCCACTTGCGTTGACCCCCGTCTTTTTCAGCTGGAGGCCTTTGGCCGCTCCCGCCGCCGCGGCCAGGACCAGCGCTCCGTCTCGACCCCGGGGGGAGGCGGGGCAACAGCAGCTGCCAGCTCGGCGCACTCGGGCACTCGTCAACGAGACCCAGGGGCCCAGGTCAAGTGCGAGCCGGCTGCGACCCTGCAGGGGACCACGAGGGTGAGGTAGGAGAGAGGAGCGGGGAGGAAGAGACGAGCGTATAAATCGAGGGATGAGGAACAGTGGATGAGGGGGAGACGGGAGGAGGCAGCAGGAGCAGGACGGGGTCGACTACCACTGGTGAGCACACCCAGGCGCCCAATCAGGAGAGCAGACCCCGCGGGGTGGTTGACGTTGGCTCGATAGGGCTGTAGTGCTGAGCCGCGAAAGACATCCAGATGACCTTGGGCTTCGACTCTGGCGACGAAATCTTCATGTAAGGCTTTTCAGAGCCATTCCTGCTGTTCGCGTGCTGACCAAAAGAATTCGCTGGCCCAGCGGGCCAAAGGCGTGCTAGAATTCGGCAGGGAGTTACATAATGTTTTCGTGTGCTAGCTCGAGCGTGCGTGGCGGCCCCTGGGACCACCTGGTGTGGAGAGCCAAAGGATCCCCAAGGGTCGCCCCCAGAGTTGTCCTCCTCCTCATCCTCTTCCTTCCCCTCCATCTCGTCTTCTTCGTCCTACTCCAAATCCTCCTCCTCCACCTCCTCCTCCTCCTCCTCCTCCTGCTCCTCCTCCTCCTCCTGCTCCTCCTCCTCCTCCTCCGCCTCCGCAAGGTCAAGGCACATACCGTGGACACGCCTGACCTTATTGCAGAAACTCGCTTTTTAATGCTCGGGAATGATGCTGCCGGCAAGGCAGCCAAACACGGAGTGACACTTCACCCGCAGGCCAGTGCGGATGACATGGCACACATAGATCGCATCGTGAAGACGGCTAGAGCCGTTTGCAGAGTTGCCGCCGCAGTGCTCCCGAGCTGGCTGAAGCTCGATCTCAGTGAAGTGGCGCGTGCCGTTCCCATGCCGCCCACTCCTTCGATCGAGCTTCGCTTCGACCACCAATGGGAATGGCACCGCGGTGTATGGAGATGCATGTGGTGTCTTCGTCTTCGTCGTTCTGATGAATGGTCCCTTGACGGTGGATGCCGAGGGGAGCCACCGCCTGCTGTGCAAGAAATGTCGAATTTGGGTCACCGCCTGCTTGCCTTGAAGTGCAGTGACCAATCTTCGCTCTTCGTCTGCGTCAGATGTAAAGCCTACACCCTACTCTTGTCTCGGAAGAGTCTGCCGACTGAGCCGCCCATGCAATCCAAAGCTTACTGGCCGCAAAGGCGCAGATCGCTGGCGACTCATGTGCCGTGGACTCCACCCTGAGCTCAAAGGGGCTAGTGTCAAGCCCATGCCAGAGATGGTTGAGTGAATATCGTTCTCCATTTCTTTCTCCCTCGTCAAATGTCGTTCTCCAGAGATGGTTGAGTGAATATCGTTCTGTTGGGCAGCGTCAAATGGAAAACAGCTCCTCATCCTCCTCCTCCTCCTCCCCCTACCCTCCCCCCTCCCCCTCCTCCCCTCTCCCCTCCCCCTCCCCCCTCCCTCCTCCTCCTCCTCCTCCTCCAGTTTCTCCGCCTCCTCCTCCTCTGTCTCCCTCCTCCTCCCCTCCTCCTCCTCCTCCTCCTCCTCCTCCTCCTCCCTCCTCCTCCTCCTCCCCCCCCCGCCTCCTCCTCCTCCTCCTCCTCTTCCTCCTCCTCTTCCTCCTCCTCCTCCTCCTCCGTCATTTCTTCTCCTGATAGATAATTCCTCCCTGTCGCCCTCCGAGGCCAGTTTTCAGGGGGCCGGGCATTTCGCCTGAGACTTCCTCACCATTTATGACGAGAGGAGCTTCAACAGTGACAACAGTTTCACAGATGGGGGGCGGGCCGTTTTCAAAATGTGGCTCTCGCCTTAGCGCCGCGCACATTCGTTTTAAACATTTGCAAGTGGTCCACGGATTGAGGGCGGGTCGTTTTCAAAATGTGGCTCTCGCCGCGCACATTCGTTTTTTTTTTATAAAGTTGCAAGAGCTTCATGGATTGAGGGCGATTCCTTTTCAAAATGTGGCTCTCGCCTTAGCGCCACGCACATTCGTTTTAAACATTTGCAAGTGGTCCACGGATTGAGGGCGGGTCGTTTTCAACATGTGGCTCTCGCCGCGCACATTCGTTGTTTCAAAGTTGCAAGAGCTTCACGGATTGAGAGCGGTTCCTTTTCACAATGTTGCTCTCGCCTTAGCGCCGCGCACATTCGATTTGAAGAATTGCACGGGTTCCACGGATTCCCATGACCAACGTGCCAGAAATGATGTTTTGGAAGGCTTCATGATTACGAGGGTGCAACAGTTATGTTGATTCGCGGTGTTGAAATCCCCAACATAGCGCTCTGGTACGATTCCGGGTCGTCACGACGCAGCAGTCGGGTTGATACGTGGCGTTGAAGTCCCGAGAACAATGTTCTGGCATGCTTCAGGATCTTCAAGCGGTTGTCTTCCAATGAGGCGGTTCCCTCAATGGAAATGAACAGTTGTGGGGGCCTATGAAGTGGGAGCTTGGAGGGAGGGTCAATTTCAATATCGTTGATGACTCTTGGTTTTACACTGGTCCTCCTCCTCCTCCTTCTCCTCCTCTGGGCAGGTCGGATCAGATATTGTTGTTTCTCCTGGGCGCGGCCCTCGGGACCCACCCTCACCGCAGCCCGAGGATCGCCCTAAGGAACCTCCACGAGGGCTCAGGAGCGGCCAGTAGAGCGGATCAAGTGGTGACACGCCCAAATCTGCCGCCAAGACAACCCCAGGAAGCCCTGAGGTGTCCCAAGATGGTGCAAGACAGCTCCCGGGACGCCCCCAAGAGGCTACATCTGTTATATGATGTGCTGTTTTCAACTGAATCGGGATTTCTCGACCTGCCGCTTCCTGTGGGATTCTGAGGCCTCAAGGTGGCTCTAAGATCGCCCAATCTGACTCCAAGTGGGGCCAGGAAGGGCTCCAAAAAAGCTCCGAAGACCACCCACTGGCGCCCCAGTAGAGGCTCAACCAAGACAGCTTCAAGAGGGCACCAAGAACAATCCCACGATGATACCAAGACAGCCCCAAGAGGCCCCTACATAGGCCTGAGGTGGGCCAAGATCACCGCAGACAGTCCAAGGAGCCTCAAGGATGCCCAAACCCTTCACATACTTTGTGTGCTTGATGTGTTGTGGATTTCTCGCCTTTTCGCTGCTTATGATATTCTGATGTCTCGACATGGCTCCAAGATCGCCCAAGAAAGCTCCCGGCAGGTCCCGAAGGGCTCCAAGAAGGCTCCGGAGATCCCGAAGAGCCCCACTGGATGCCCAAGACAGCTTCAAGAGGGCTCCAGAGCGAACCAAGAGCGGTCAAAGGGTGGCAGGTTCCAAGACGGCCCTAAATAAGCTGCCCCAAGGCAGCCCCCAGAGTAGCACCGAGACGGCCCAATATGGTCCAAGGCAGCCCGAACGACGCCTCCAGGCCAAAACACCTCCAGAGCCTGAAGCCTTTCGGTGATTTCGGCGTTCTCGGTTTTTGCTTCCTATGAGCATCAGGGCGCCCCAAGATGCCCCCAGAGGGCCTCCAAGGGGGGGCCAGCACCATCTAAGCCCCCGCGAGCCTACAGGCAAACGCCAACAATGATGCAAGCTGGGCTGGCGGAGTGAGCGAAACGATTCGATCAAGTGTCAGGAGTCGCACCTCCAGGTTGTACAGTGCGGCCGCAGCTTGCAAAGTCAGATGATCACCCCAAGTCTTATCCTTAGACATCATGTTAAGGTAGCTGTCATACGTCGAAGGTTGGCTCGGATGGGAGGGCGCGTAGAAATTCTCAAAATAATATCGGCCAGGGCCTCGCATATGCGTGATGATCCGCGCTCGCAGCTCCTCGTGCCTGCTGGTGGTCTGACAAATATTCCAACACAGCGAATAAAATTGGCAATTGCCGTCTCCGGCCACGCCGAGACGGCCCCCATCGGTAGTACAGAAGACGAAACCGAAATGCTTCATGATGTCTTCGACACGGCCTCTCTGTGGACTTACCTGTGCTGGCAGTGGAAAGTGGTCCTTGCGCTTCGCCATGTACTTCACGAATTCACTCATGGAGATCACGTTGTTGTTGTCTGCGTCTACAACATCGAACAAATGGGAAACGTCGTCGCGCGACATGGTCAGGAACTCGGGCAGACCGCTGACGCGCTCGAACTCCCTTCGGTTGAGCACGTGGTCGCCGTTGGTGTCGAGGGCAACAAACTCCGCGACGATGTGGTCGTACATTTCTCGTGATAGGCCAGCTTGCACCCAAGGCCTGGTGCACGCCTGGGCCAGGACGGGGTCAGGGGCACTATATATTGACTCCTGACGGTCAACAACGTTGACCTCAATGACCTCATCTTGAGTTGGCCTTTCGATGCACTGGCACATGGTGCTGTCAAAACATTAGAATAAACTCGGCGTTGAGCCCAGACAGTGGCTAATCGCAGAAGGGGAACAGGGGGGGAGAAGGAGAGCAGGCGGGGAGACCGCGCACGCGATTTAGTGTTGCGCATTTTTGCCGCCGCCCCCACCCCCCAAAACCCCCAGCCCTGTGCAATCGCACCCGTCCGCGTCCCCTTTCACCCGCCAGTCCTTCCCGCCCTCCCCTCCCCCTACCCATTCTGCAACGCACGTTCCCTTTCATCCGAAAGCTATACCAGAAACGTCAGCATTGAAGGATACAGAAAAACGTCAGAACAAAACAAAAACACATACAGACACCTCGAAAGGTGTCATAGAAAACGCAGACACCATGCGGAAACATGAGAACACCTCTACCTCCGCCTCCGCCTCCCCCTCCTCCTCCCCCGGTGACCTCGGGAGACTTCCCGGGGCCCAAACCGATCCAAACGTCAAACCACTTCTATCGCCGATCCTGGATCCATCTCCCCCCTCGCCCTTTTCCTGTCCTCCTCTCCGCGGACCGTACTCGGAGGTCTGCGCAGATTTCTTGGATCGGCGCTGGACCCCCCTCCCTGGCGCGCGGAGCGCGACGTGGGCGGCGCCAGTCCTGCGCCGATCCAAGAACTCCGCGCGGACCTCCGACCGTGTAGCCCTGTGCCCCGGGTAAAAATCGCTCAGGGATTAGAAAGCTCGGGGGTCTGGCGGGGATAGTCAACGATTTTCCCGGGGAAGGTGATGTTAGCTATAAGTTATGACGATGACGATGATGATGATGATGATGATGATGATGATGACGATGATGATGATGATGATGATGATGGTGATCCTGGGCGCTCGTGTAGACTGCCATTGTAGATCTTGGCACAAGACTGACTCGAGAGATCTCGAGGCTCGTGGCTACAACTTGCCTGCGCAAGAGAGGTCCTTGGCCGTTCTGGCCAAGAAACCTCTCTTGCGCACGGCTTCAAACCACTCGCCCATGCAGGCTCGGCACCATGAGATGATAGCAACTTCGATTCGCAACTTCCCCCATGGATTATCAAGGTCGGCCTCCGCGCCCCTCTCCACAATTAAATCCTATTGAACCGGGATAAAAAATAGAGGGGGTTAAGGGGGGGGTGCATTTTTATCCAGGGCACTCGGTTATGCTAACACATGTTTTGTTATTTTCCGAAGTTGAGCGCCCGTGGCCTGCCTGCAGACATCCCCCCCTTCTCCTTGGCGAGAGGCCTCCCACATGGGGTCCGAGCAGGCGGGGTCCGAGGGTCGCACCGCATCGCCGATGCATCGCCGATGCGTCGGCGATGCTTCGGCGACGTGGGTGTGGAGCATCGGCGATGCGGCGCGATCCTCAGACCCCACCTACTCTCGCTGGGTGGAGGTCAGCTGCGGGCTGCGGGCTCCGATGGCAGTCACTGCGTGCGTGCTGGGCGCAGGGCTCGGGGGGGGGGAGTACCCTGCTTAGCCGCCCCGATACGCAACACGCAACCCGTAGCGTGTTGACACGGAGCTCAACACGTAGATTGAAAATGATACCAGAGAAAAACCCCAATCAGAATTTTTTGGGGGGGCTATGGGGCTTTAGGGCTTTAGGGCTATGGGGCTATAGGGCGATGTGGCCATAGGGATATAGGGCTAGAAGCCTTTAGGGCTATGGGGCTATAGGGCTACAGGGCTATAGGGCTATAGGGCTAAGGGCTATAAGGCTATTCGGGATATAGGGCTATATACGGCTATAGGGCTTTAGGACCATAGGGCTATAGGGCTATAGGGCTATAGGGCTACAGGGCTATGGGGCTATGAGGCTATGGGGCTATGGGGCTATTGGGCTATAGGGCGAGGTGAGGGGGTGAGATCGAAGTGGAACGGCGAGCCCCCCACCGGGAAATCGGTTTCGGTTTCGTGTTCGTGCGTGCCGTGCGTGCGAGGCGAAGCTGCGTGGGCGGGCGAGAAGAAGTCTCCTGTGGCTGAGACGCGGCCGGACCAAATGTTTCTCTTCCGGGGCGCGGGGCCCCGCGGTGTCCGGCTGGTGTCCCGCGGAGTCCTCCTGTGGCTGAGGCGCGGCCGGACCAAATGTTTCTCATCCAGGGCGCGGGGCCCCGCGGTGTCCCGCTGGTGTCCCGCGGTGTCCCGCAGTGTCCCGCCGGTGTCCCGCGGTGTCCCGCGAGGATGATGATGATGATGATGATGATGATGAGATGGTGATGATGATGATGATGATGATGATGATGATGATGATGATTCCGATGATGATGATGATGAGATGATGGTGATGATGATGATGATGGTGTCCCGATGAAGATGATGATGATGTTGATGATGGTGTCGATGATGATGATAGTGTCCCGATGATGATGATGATGATGACGCTCATGATTCTGTTGATGATGATGACGATGATGGTGTCCCGATGATGATGATAATGACGATGATGATGATGACGATGATTCCGATGATGTTGGTGATGATGTTGATGGAAATGGTGTCCCGGCGATACTGATGTTGATGATGATGATGATGTTGATGATTATGGTGTCCCGATGATGATGCTGCTGATGATGATGGTCATGATGATGATGGTGATGCTGATGGTGTCCCGATGATGATAACAATGATAATGACGATGTTGATGATGATGTTGCTCATGATGATGATGGTGCCCCAATGATGATGATGCTGTTGATGATGAAGATGTCGATGATGATGATGCGATGGTCATGATGATGATGGTGTCCCGAGGATGATGACGATGTTGATGATAATGTTGATGATGGGAACGATGGTGATCATGACGGTGTCCCGATTATGATGATGATTATGATGATGCTGCTGATGATGATGACGATGACTGTGTCCCGATGATGATGATGCTGCTGATGATGATGATGAGATGATGATGGTGATGATGATGTTGTCCCGATGATGATGCTGACGTTGATGATGTTTATGATGATGATGATGATGATGATGATGATGATGATGATGACGGTGCCCTCATGACGATGACGATGTTGGTGATGATGTTGATGTTGATGATGTTGATGATGATGATGATGATGATGGTGATGATGATGATGATGCTGATGACGTCGATTGTGAGAGCGATTGTGATATCGATAGTGAGATCGATATTGAGACCGAATGTGAGATCGATTGTGTGATCGATTGTGAGATGAATTGTGAGATCGATCGAATGAGATAGATCGAGCGAGATCGATTGTGAGATCGATCGAGTGAGATCGATCGAGCGAGACCGATAGTGAGATCGATACTGAGATCGATAGTGAGACCGATCGAGTGAGACGTTGTTTCCCCCCCCCGAACCTCCTTATCACCCGAAGGGTGGTCGTATAGGTACGGCTATAGGGCTATAGGGATATAGTGCTACAGGGATATATGGCGATTGGGCTATTGGGCTATAGGGATATAGGGCTATTGGGCTAGGCACCCCCGGGCACTTCTGGGCACCCCAGGCACCCGGGCACCCCTGGGCACCCGGGCACCCCCGGGCACCCCCGGGCACCCGGGCACCCGGCCCCAGCCACCGAAATCGGCCACACACCTGGGCAACCGGGCACCCCCGGGAACCCCCGGGCACCCGGGCACCCGGCCCCGGCCACCGAAATCGGCCGCCCACCTCACCTCAGCTTTGTATCCGCTAGGACCCCTACAGAGGCAAGCTCTGATTGGGGAACATACGTTTGGCGCGACACGTTCGCCAAAACGTTGGCCAACACATTGAGCCAAGCGGCGTGCCAGCACGGACGTTTTGAACACGGCGCGTGCTGCGTTTCAGAACGGGCGCATCAGGGTAATACGCTGGTGTGTAGGCGCCGATTGGGCTTGCTCTCGGGGCTTCGCACACGGGTGCTTAGCCAACCGGGGGCTGGGGTTGAAACTCCCTTGGTGTCGCGTGGCCCCCCCGCCCCTGTCTGGATGGCAGCTCCAGACACAGAGTCTATAGAGGAAGGCTCTGAGGGGGAAGGGGGAGATGAGGACAGCGAGAAGCGCGAAATGTATATTTCCGTAGACTCGCTTTGTGATACAAGCACAAGATCGCAAAATGATTTTGGAATATATCTACAAACCGTTCGCGCGATTTTGATTTACATGCGTTTTCGTTTTCAGTAATCCCAAACACGGTACATGTCAAAAGTCCAAACGAGGCCTTCAGGACTCCCAGGATGTGGCTCGAGAGAACCCTCAAACCTGTTTCCCTAGAGATCCCTACGAGCGGCCAGTCTGGGATGATGAGCCGAAGGCTTATGAATAACAACACGTGGGAAGCACGAGACACTGAGAGAGACACATTGCGTTTCTCAGCGAAGTTCAGCTTCCGACAACGCCCCTTCAAAGTTCAATTCTCCTCCATTCTTAGCTGTTTCGATATCTTCGACAGTAGCCCTAGACTTACCACGAGAAGCGGCCCATAAGTAGTTAAGTAGTCTGGCAGAAGTTCACCCCTAAACGCCCACAAAAAAAAATCCCAATGAGATTGATAATCCCTCTCCATCCACGAAGCAAAACCTGTCCACGTCCAGCTTTTCAAAACATCAGGCACCTTATTCGCAATCGTTGATTTGTGGCGCATGACTGTGATCCGACGACACCGTTCATTAGGAAATCCTAGCTTTCCGACGTCGACGAATACAGACTCTATCACGTACAATGGGAAGAGCTTTTCCAGGAAGGGAAGAGGGACCCCCTTCACATTTTCATGGATTATGAAAGGCTCTTGTAATAAGGGCCGATGCGCAGCCCACGCAACAAACACTAAGAAATCAGCTCTTGTAGCATGCAAGCGAGGGGTATCTGCTCCCTTGTTACGTTGAACAGACCATGTGGGGCACGGTGTACCAGCGACGTGAACCGTAGACTTCTTGCACGTGCAGTAGTTGTCAGGCCTAGTACAACACGCAGTGTTAGTAGCCAGCCCTGGAGTCCCAGCAATCCTAACCTAATCATGTCATCGGGGTGCATGCGTT